TATATTGTTTAAATGGTATCCAGTGTTTACAGAAATTATCTTCATGACTACTGCATTTAGAATAGATGTGAAAAAAATAAAGGGATCCAAAATATAAAAAGCAATCTTGGCACAGTATTTGCTCTATGAATAAAATTAAAAAATAAAGATTCCTAACTTTTTATTATATACTGTATAAGCTTGGCCCGAGTCACATGATATTTAATATATATGAAGTCTAGTATTGCTTTTAGGTAACACTCCATTCAAACCTAAATCTTCAATTACTTTTTTTGTTGTTATTATTATTATTATTATAACAGGTTTCTCCCGAGATATTTCTATTTAAATTTTGGTACCAAGATAGATTTTACACAAATTCGGGCGATACTAGTCTATAAATCTGACCACTTTTTCAATCTTCATTTTTCCAACAACAACCCAAACCTAAATCCGTCAACATACATTTTGTTTTAGTTTTTTGTGTTATTTTTATTATTTTATTATTATTATTATTATTTTTTGTAATTCAAATTTACGATCAAATTATAAAATCAAATTTAGAAAATTCCAAAGTTAAAGAAACTAGTGTAAAAATTGATAAAATAATTTCCAAAACCCTTTGTTTATTGTTTGATTCTTCGATCATTGTTTTTCTTTTAATTTTTCTGTTGCTTGTTTTCATTTTCATATTTATTTCATTCATAATTCTTAATTTATAATTCTTTATTTATTTTATAATTTATTATTGCATTTATATATTTGCATTTTTTTTTCATATATAATAATGACGAAAAATTATCAATGTTTTAAGGTTATTACAATAGATGCAGGATTACAATAGATGCAGGGATTTGATGTAAGAAAACTCTGTGTCATAGAAATGTGCATTAAATGGTTTGTGGGGTGGTACTGATCTGATAATAAAGAATCTTAATTATGTATCTGTACGTATTTTAAACTTATGATAATAAAAACAATCTGTGCATATAACATGCATACTGTATATGTTGTGCATGATATTAAGGGGACTATATTTCGAAGATATTCTCTTAATGGGCTCTATTGAATTATGACCAATAAATTATTATGTAATTTTTTTGACCTTTAATGTCCTTGATTTTCGGCATGCATATTCTGAATTTTCCTAAGTCGAATTGTAATTTAATTGGACCGGTGACTAAGTCGAATTGTAATTAGTCGCCGATTCTTGATCTTTATACTATACTTTATTATAAATGATTCAGACCAATAAAAAACTTTATATAAAAAAAAGTCACCCTGTCATATTTTATCTATCCATTTTCATAACTATATGTGATGACGTTGTCAAATAACTCTACAATAATGAATAAACTAGTAAAATAAATAATAAAAAATTATGGGTGTTATATACTGTAAATGAGACCTTACAGTTAAAATCCAATAAATTTATAGTCACAAACTTCCAATTAATATTTATATTCATGTTATTTTTTTATAAACTTTTTAAAATTCTTGTTATTTGCCTTACTTACTCATTATTTTACTTATTATATTATTCATTATATCGAAAATAATAAAAATATCAAAAATAACTTTGACAGATAACAATACAGCATATAATGGCATTTCGAAAAAAGTTACATATATGAATATTTAAAATATAATAAAAATATTAAATATATTAAATCTCATTAACAAGTGGTCTTGAATTATAACTGCAAATCATAAAACTTTAATGTTTCGTCTGAACGAAACTTTTTGTTCCTTAACTGTTGAAAAATCTTTCAAAAAATTCTATAACTTTCTACTCCAAGAAAACAATTTTTTTGCCAAATAGTAAACAAAAAGTTCATGAAAATACAACAAATAGGGGCGGTTTTTCCATGCACTATTATAGAAAGAGTGGGTTTTGGCTTTTTATAGGCAACAATAAGTCACGACCTAATTCCTAATATCGTACTATAAATCATTCTCCCACGCCAGAACCGATTGAAATTGCCCTTACCGTAGCCGTCGTTGCTTGCGAGGTCGCAAATTTAGTTGATTTGATTGGCGTTTTAAATTATTTTTATGTCTTATTTCTTGCTCTATTCCTTGCTTGGATGCTTTGGTTACTTGCTAAATTAATTTTTTCTCTTTCTTTTCGTAAAATTAAAATAAACTGTGCAAATCTCAATCATTTCAACTCTTACTTTCTTTTTTGTTTTTGTGTTTGTATATTCTTAACAAGTTTTTTTTTTTTTGCCCACCAAATCATGTTTTGATTTTTTTCTTGTTAAGAATTTTTACTTTTGCTTTTTAATATGTATCTCTGCTGTTGCATAAATAAAGAAGTATGAGTAAAATTTTTTACCTCTATGAAAAATTCAGTTATCTACTAGTGCAAACGCACAGTATAAAAGTATAAAATCAGCGCAAAGAAGTTCGAACTTTATTCAGGCATCAGAGAAAGCGAAAAAAATCATATCACCTGATGATAAAAAATGTCGAGATAAACTTCGAAGTTTTGGAAAGTTTTGGAGTGAATGAATCTTTAAAACAAATAGAAGGATAAATTAATTTAATTATCATTTCTTCAAGTCCGCTTTATATTATGTCTGAAGGTATGATTAAATGATCAATTTTAGTATTATCTACCCTTGCTACAAAGCGATATATTACAAATAGTCGTACAAAACAATATTGAAAAAAGTGCTATATAATTTATTCATATTCCTAACACCGAAAAAGCAGCATTAAACTTTTTGATCTATCAAATTTATTAAGAAGTTCCAGAGATATATTAATCTAATAGCATATGATGTTGCCTAAGATAACCAAATTTTTCACGATCATAACTTAATAAACTTATTAAATTTTCATAAAATAAACTATTACTTCTCAAATGTAACTTTTATATTAAGTAATCAATTCATTTCCTTGCACTTTAATGGAAATAATTATGGTAATGATTAAACGATTGCTCTTCGGAAAAGATCATTAATATCATCCATAGTCATATAAAGTGTTCATGTTAAATTTCTTTTTTTAGGATTTCGATGGCACACATAACAATTTCTCCGTCAAATCACCAGGAAATTTTAATTATTATTTATTTTTACAAACATACACCTTACAAAAAGGAAGTTATAACAAGTGCTCGTGTTAAATCCTTTCCATTTCTCCCGCCAAACGATTACCAGGAAATTTAATTTTTATTTATTTACATTTTATTAAGTCTTAATTTATTAAAGAATTTACGTTATATTTATAAATTCTGATACTTTACTTTTATGTGAAATGTATTTATTCGTAGATTTAAAGCACTCTTCAGAATGTCGCTATTGTTTAAATGTGTTAGATTATTTTTAGTATTGATAAATAATATTATGCGCAAAAATAAAAAAAAAAAACTTTAAAAAAAGAATTTTTTTGAATGTTTTGGAAGGTCTAAAAGTTATTTTGAAAAAAAGATTTTTAACATATAATAATTATTTATGCTATTAATATAAAATAATCTTAAAATATTAAATTATAAATAATAGAAATAGATATGCTGTGCTAAATAGTAATCATGCAGCTTAGTTTATTAGTTAAACTTTACACAAAATACAATAGTACTTATGTTAACTAACCCATCTCTAAGTGCAATCCCAGGGAATAATTTAGTGCTAACCGAGTGCTAGGTGAATACCCATATGTCTAAACCTATATGAGCTCGGTGTCTATGCACAGGATCCTAACAAACGATTAATAATTTAAGATAAAATTAATTTCGGCGGCTTTCCTGTTTTTCGTGATAAACTTTAAATAAAATCTGTTGTAGGAAAAAAAAAAATTTATTTGCTTATAAGAAATATATATATTATAAGAATTGACATAGTCGAGAATTGCTAATAAAAAATTACCATATCATTATTTATTATAATTACAATAAATAACTTTTGTATTTAATTCCAAAGATGCAGCTTCTTGGGTTAAATTGATATTACTAATTTATCTATCAATGTGAATTTCCGTTCATATACAAAAAAAAAAGAAAAGCAAGAAAGAATGTATACAGATTAAGGACAAAAAAAAGTGTATATACAAATAAAAAAAAATTTGGTATGTACAAATAAAATAATGTTTTTTCAGCCTTAAATTTAAAGATTCTGTGATATGTTTATATCAAATAAAGAATAAACAAGATTAACATGGCGTGGGATAACAAAAATGCAATGCATGTATAAAATTAGGTATCACGATATGGCATTTCGTTTTTTTTTTTTTTTTGAAAAAAGTTACATATATGCAATAATATAACATTATAACTAAAAAACTTTAGTATTTCTGTTTGAACGAGAATCCTTTATTTCGCTTCTGTATAAAAATTACAGTTGTCACCTCACGCAACGCAACATCATTACAGTATTAAAAGTACAAACCAGCGCAAAGAATTCAAATTTTATTCAGGCATTAAAAAAATAAAATATGTCTGGATTAAATTGTTTGGCGAGAATGAATTTTTAAAACCGAGATTAATCTAATTATTGTCATGTACAACCACAAAAGTATAATTTATAAATTCGTTAGTGATGGAAATGCCTGTTTTTGAAATGTATTAAATGTATTTAATATTCAATAATTCCAGATTTGCTGAGTTTTATTTTACTAAAATATTAAAAAAAAAATTATGCAAAATTCTAAAAGTATCAAAAAAATATTTAAATGAGAAAAAAACATATTTTTCAATGTTTTTACAAGGTAGCATTGCAAAAATTGATATATGAACTGGTTCAAAATACTGAAAATACGTTATAAATACCAATACTAAAAATTTAGTAAAAGAAAAAATAATATATTTTAATCTACCGTAGCTAAAATACTTGCAAATTGTTACAGGTAAATATATTTTTTTTAAAAAATTTTTAAGAAAGTAAAGAAAACAAAAATATATCATTATTAAAATAAATAAATAAAAGTCGATAGTAGGTGAACGATAATGTTACACGTAGCGAGTGAAAATAATTTCTGGTTCTATCATAAAAGCATAAAAATATTTATAATATGGATCATTAAACTAGTAATGATTGAATGATTGCTCGATAAGTTTCAGATAAATCATAAGGAAGATATTTCATAAATTCATCATCATCTATAGTCATAAGGTCCTTTGTACAAGATTCTTGCTTATTGTGGATGAAACGAAAAGGTCTCTTTTCTTTGAAAATTTTTTTCACTTTTTTTGCCATTTGTCGGTAATAATCTTTAACATCTTCCGTCTCGTTTTTCCATGAAATACCAGCATATTTAGATATATCCTTAAGTTCAAGATTATAATTTGTTACTATACGATTAAATTCTTTTCGATAAATCATAAACGCGTTCATAGTTTGGTTAACGCCCTTTTCTAAATGTAATTCAACGATTTCATCTGCATTTGTAGATGGAGGAAATGGAACTTGTAAATTAATAAGAGATGACATATTTTAATTAAGATTTTTTTTTTTTTTTTTGTTAACGGAAGAGGGATATTTATATAAAAATTTTTATTAATAAATTATAATCAATTAAATTTTATGTATATCGGGAGAAAGCCAATATCACTTGTTCAAAACGAAGAACAAGCAAACTACAAATTCAAAACTCGACATATTTTTATACTTAAATATCGATGCACAAAAAATTAGATATATATATAAATTACATAAAAAATTTTAAAAATTGACTTGGATTCATATTTAGTTGAAATAACCGATTATACAATTTCTTATTTTACGTAATAATAATAATGATAATAATAATAATAATCACGTTTTTTTTCGTTAATAGTAATATTGTTAGTATTTATTATTTTATTATAAATATATAAATTAATTAATAAATATTTAAAATTTTTATTCTTTGACAATTTTTTGTGTGACCTTGGCGTTTTTTGTATTTTTTAGCTTAGTTCTAGATTCTTTTTTTTTTGTGTTTTGAAATTTAGATTTTTGGTTCTATCTTACAATATCTCTTCCAACTTTTTGTAACCTTTTGTATTGAATTCATCATGCCCATTTCTTTATTTGTTGTTTATGTATTTATATTTAATGTTTCCTAATATAACCTAATATATTGTGATCTGGCGAAATGGCGAAAAAAAATTGTTTGTGGGTTATATCAATAGATACAAACATTGGATAGACAAACAAAAGCAAGCAGATAAGACCTGACACTGACATCCTTAAAAAAATGCATCAGAATATTTTTTTTTGTTTTGACAAGATGAAATGCCAAATATGGTTGCTTAATAAGCAATAAAAGTGATCGTAAACATATATAAATTTCTTCATGCATAAACGTACATGTATATAATCATTCATTCTCGCATGTTTGATTAGTTTTTATTTTATTACTTATTTAAAACAAAATTTCCCTGATTTTTGATCACTGGGAAATACCTTCACTTTTATGTGAAATAGCTCGAAATAGTATTTGTTTGTGGATTTAAAGCATTTTTCGTAATGGACGCTATTTTTTGTATTGTGATTATTTTTAGTATTAATTAATAATATTATACGCAAAAAAAAATGATCCCCTGGTTTATTATTATTATTTTTTTTCTTTATAAAGCCATTTGGTGAATTTTGATGTAATTAATGTATGTATATATGACGTTATTATTATTGTAATTATTGTATAATTTTTATAATTTTTATAACTTATTATTATTATTTATTGTAATTAAACAAAAAGAGAAGAAAAGAGAACAGAAAAATAAATAAAGTTTATTTTTTATAACGTCACTATAAAGAGTTCTTAGACAATGAAATGATTATTAAAATTTAAGGGTCAGGTATATGACAATTGGTTCACTCTATTGAAATTTGATGTGGATTATAGTTATCTCGGGCCGTTTTGTATTTCTTTTAAAAGTAACCTTCCGTTATTCTTTATTATATATGCAATACATAATTTAGAATGTGACCCCGAAACTATTGAATTGATTGATTTTTTTTTTTGCCTTTTCTTATGCATTGCACTTTCGGAACTATAATATAAATGCACCCCAGAATGTACTGTTTTTCGTTGGTAAACTTTAATGAAAATCCGTAGTAGGAAAAAAATTTAATTTGCTTAAATAAGAAATATTTGTTGCGAGTCGAATTGTCATTTTTGAAACTAATTATGCTTTACTATAAATAACTTAGACCAATAAAAACTTTATATATTTGTTTATTCTTTCGTATTTTTTATATTCATTTATCATTTTCGTTCAATATAAATATTCGTTCATAACTACACAACAATGAAGTAGTGTAAAATGTGAGATGTTATACAAAATGTTCAGCCAGTTATATTCAATAAATTTATCGAGTTTCACAAACTTATTTTTTTTTGGAATTTTTTGATTGTATAATAAAAATATCAATGCAAGTTTAAATTTAGTCTTCACTTAATTACTTTTTTTTTACACGTATTTTTAAAATATAATAAAATATTAATTTCATTAACAAGCAGTCTCGATCAGTGTTTGAAATTCAATGTGCGGAATGTGCGCTAGCACAAAATTTGAAAACTCCGCACATAAAAAAAGGCATCCGCACAAATTTTTGCATATAGAATTCTAAATTTTGTAAAATCCGCACAGGATTACAATTTGAATTTCAAACACTGGTCTCGATTTATTTAGTATTTGAACGAACTTTTTATTATGGAAGTTTTTTTTAAAAATTACAGTTGTCGCCTTACGCAAACATTTAGTATAAAAAGGATAAGTTCAGGAACTTATTCTTTGGAAAGTTTGGAGCGAATGAATTTTCAAAACAAATAGAAGGACAAATTAATTAATTATTGTGAACTACGCAACTACATTTATGCAATAACTTTGTTTTAAGTTACAACTACATTTGAAGATATGATTAAAGAATTAACAGGAAATTATCACTTCTTCTAGTCAACTTTATGCCTGAAGGTATGCACTTCAAGTGATTAAATGATGCAATTTTTCAGATTATCTACCTAACTAACAAAGAGCGTGAGATTACAAATTTTCTTATATTAAAATTTATTATGATAAATCAAGGAAATACCGGAAATTTTAAAGTTTAATGCTAAATTAATCTAATTTTATGAATCTTTTAATAAGTATTTATTTCTGAAGGCTGTTGATATGATATTGCAGCGATAACTGATTATTTATATCACAGATCTTAATGTCCTGTGACAATTTTACTGATATTTTTCATGGGCAATAAATTTATTAAATTTTTATAAAGTAAACCATTACTTATCAAATGTAACTTTTATATCAGTAATTAATTCATTTCCTTTTCTCTTTAATATAATCACATCATTAAAATGGTAATGATTGAATGATAGTTGACTTCAGAAACATAATTCATAAATTTATCATCATTCGTAGTCGTATATGCTTGAAGAGTTTCAAAATTATCAGATACAAGAGTGCTCATATCAAGAAGTAATTTCATGTAATTGTTTGGAATTTTTTTTTAAATATTGTGATTCTTGTTTCCACGAAATGCTAGCATGTAAAGATATAATTTGTAACTATATGATTAAATTCTTTTCGATAAATAAATGCATTCATGGTTCGATTAACGCTATTAATTCCATTTTTTATTTGTAATTCTACGATTCATCTGCATCAGTAGATGGAGGTAATGGAACTTGTATGTTTAAAGCATTTTGGTAATTAATATTGAATTAATATTTTTAATAGGAGATGACATATTTAAGTAGGAGTTTTTTGTTAACGGAAGAGGGATATTTTTACAAAAATTTTTATTAATAATTATAATCAATAAAATTTTTTAATTATTATTTATTTACATTATTATTTTACAAATTTTTATGCACATCAGATTTACATCTTCATTTTCGGGGGAATACCTTACTTTTCATGCGAATAGATAAGAAATAGTGTTTATTTGTAGTTTAAAGCATTCTTCGGAATGAGCGCTATTGTTTAAATGTGTTAGATTATTCTTCGTATTAATTAAATAATTTTATACACAACTTAAAAAAGAATTTGAATGTTTTGGAAGCAAGTCTAATAAAATTATAATTATTAATATATATAAGTTAAATTTATATTAATTTATAAATAAAAATGATTTTTTTTATTACCTCGTTAAAAAAAAATAAAAACACAAAATACAAAAATATAAAATTATATATATACAAATTTTTTTTTAATCGAACATTCCCATCGAAAAAATTGTGGCACAAGAATAAATAATATATATGGCAATTTTAAATCATTCCTGTGACAATTTTTACTGATATTTTCACTTACATAACTCAAAAATTTATAGAGTAAACTATTGCATCTCAATTATTACTTTTCATATTAGTAATTAATTCATTTCCTTCGTATAGGTAGATAATTTCTTGTTAGTGCTATTGTCGCGGTCTGCGCAGAACAAGTGGAAAGTTAAGCCAATCAGTCTCAATAAATTTGGGTCAATCACACGATAATTCAATGTACTACTAACACACTTTCTCTTGTGCGC